ATTATCAATTATACAATTATAGAGGTGCTGAGTCCAACAATAAATATGGAACAAAATTACTCATTGATAAATTTTTTTAGTGCTACACAAATAGATTTAAAAGGCCAATTGGCCAAGTAAATAATTATACAGAACATACTTGTATGCTTCTGAACTAATGATCTTTTATTCTCCTATAAAGAAAAAAGAGAACTAAAATGAGATTTGTGTTAATTCTAATATTCCAGCAATAGACCAAAAGGTCATGCTTACATTTAAAATTTCACCGGTCCAGGCCATTGCATTATTATAAAGAATTAAGGAAAAATACTGAATATTCTTATACTTTATTACATAGGGTTAGAGGTATATATACATAAAAGAGGGATTTAAATATAGAAACCTAAAATACCCTATTAATGTTAGGAATCAACCAATAATTACATAAGAATATTTCGTAATATATTTTGTAATATTCTAACACTTCTTCTCAAACTGAAACATAAATATTAATTATGTTTACTTTCTTACGAATATATTCAATTCGACTTACATTTAAAACCCTTGTAAATATATCACTAAGTTGTTTTCCTGTTTTAACATAGCCAATAAATACAAAGTTTTCTACGATCTTCTCTCGGATGAAGTGATAAACAACCTTAATATATTTGGTTCTCTCACGATACACAGGATTTGAGACAATATAAAGGGTAGTCTGATTATCGCACCAGAACTTTGCAGAAGATGTGGATTGGGTGATAGCTCTATATTCGAACTCTACACTTGAGCGAGATACAACTGTTTGCTTCTTATTTTTTCATGATACAAGATTCTCACCAACAAAAACACAATATCCTCTAATAGATCTTCTATCAACCTTAGATTCAGCCCAATCAACATTTGTAAAACATTCAATGTGAATATGTCGATGATTTCTAAATATTATACCGAGTCCCAGAACACTTTTTACATAACACAAAATCTGTTCCAAACCCTATCAATGTTTGATCGTAGGTGATGACATAAATTAGTTAACAACACTGATAGGGTACGCAATATCTGAACGAGTCATAATGAGATAATTCAATTTCCCAACTAATCGCCTGTATTTCTCTAGATTATTAAGGGGATCACCATCATTTTTTTAAGATGTACATTTGGTACTATTCGTGTATTGCATGGTTTAACATCAATCTTTCCTGTTTCTGCAAGTAACTTTCTCTGAGAAAATAGAATCTCTTCCTTACTTCTTGTTACTTCAACTCCGAAAAAAACATTTTAGCTGTCCCAAGTTTTTGATATTAAATTTGGTATGTAAGAACGACTTGAAAGAGGATACTCCTACATGGTCATTTCCTGTAATTACAATATCATCAACATAAACAACAAAAAGTATAATACCAGCTGTTGATTATCTATAAAAAACTGAATAATCACACTTGCTCTTCTTCAATTCGAATTTACATACTACCTCATTAAACTTGTCAAACCACACAAGGGAACTCTGTTTCAGACCGTACAAAGATTTTTTTAAATAACGAATTTTTCCATACTTCTCCTGAGTAACAAATCCAGATGACTGATGTATATACATTTCTTCTAAGAAATCACCATGAAAAAATATATTTTTAATGTCTAGTTGGTGTAAGAGTCAATCTTGGGAGATTGTAATAGATATGAATAAACAAACAGAGGTAAGTTTAACCACTAAAGAAAATGTATCAAAATAGTTCACCCTATAAGTCTGAACATAACTTTTCGCTACCAGTCGAGCTGTAAGTCTCGCCACACTGAGTCATCTGAATTCACTTTGACTACAAATACCCATTTACATCCTACGGCCTTTTTTTTTTTGGGTAAATCTATCAGATCCCAGGTATGATTATCATTAAAAGCATTTAACTCTTCAAGCATGACATTACGCCAACCAGAGTTATTCAGAGCCTCCTTAACTGTTTTAAATATAGAAATCGAATCTATTAGAAATAATTAAAGCACTAAACGAATGAGACCGATGGTCATATGAGATAAAATTAGCAATGGGATAAGTTGGCGCAGGAATAGTGCACTAACGTTTACCTTTACGAAAACCAATGGGAAGATCAAGGGCCTATGGGGCAAAATCAGATGACAACAGATTTGATACATGACATGTACCATTAATTTGTTATCTTCTGGAATAAACATGAATAGTTGGTAGTGGTACTTGGGTCGGAAACATACAAACTCTATCATCAACTTCCTCAAGTAGAGTTGGTGGAGACCCATTATTTAGAGTAATACTATTATCTGTTTACTCAATAAAGGCACTGGCGTGAAATTATAGATGAATAATTTGTCGTCCGCCCCCTGACTTGTAAACTTAAATAATTAGGAGAATAATAGTATATTCTCTGAAAAGACCACATCAGTTGATACCAAATTTTTATTGAGATCTGGAGAGTAGCACTTGTATCCTTTTTGAAGGCAAAAATATCCCAAAAATACACACTTCAAAACCTTTGAATCCAATTTTGTCACACTAGATCGCACATCTCGAATATAACAGGTACTTCCAAATATCTTAACTTACATCGAAAATAAAACTTATTTGAAAAAAGAAAACTGTAAGCAATATCCTCATCAAGTACTGTAGATGGCGTACGATTAACCAAAAACAAGTCATGTAAACAGCATCAGCCTAGAATTGTTTAGGGACTTGCGTTTGAAATAAGATGGCTCGAGTTGTCTCAAGTAAATACATGTTCTTCCTCTCAATGACACCATTTTGAGATAGTGTATCAATACAACAGGATTGCTAAAGCATCTTGTATTGAGTTATATAGTTCTGAAATGAATCTAACATATATTTTTTGGCATTATCAATCTTCAATACATGCAAAAAAACATTGAATTATGTCTTGACTTCAACACAAAAAGTACAAAAGTGAGAAAATACTTCCGAACAATTCTTCATAAAATATATCTAAGCTATTTGAGAAAAATTATCCACAGAGCTAATGAAATACTTAAACCCGGTTTTGTACGGAACATGAATGAGCCCCAAATATCATAATGAACTAATTCAAAAGTAAACTCAACTCGTTTATTGACCTTTGTAGCTGATGGAATACGGTGATGTTTTACAAACCGACATAACTCGCAATCCAGTTAGGGTATATCATGAAACTGAGAACATAAATTCTTCAACACAAATAGAGAAGAATGTCCCAATTGATAATGTACTTCAAACAAAGAGATAACAGTAGAGCAGACAATCGATTGGGGCACCTAAGTATCAAGAATGTAGAAACCATCTAATATATTTCTTTTACCAACAATCTGCTTCGTTATAATATCTTGAAAAACACAGTGATCAGGGAAAAATATAATACAACAATTCAAATTTTTAGTAAACTTACTCACAGAAATCATATTCAAGGCAAGTTTAGGTAAACTTAATACAGATGATATGGTAATAAATGACGTTGCTTTTAGAGTCCTCGAACCCACAATGTTATAGGTCGATCCATCAGGAAGAGTTACAGGAAAAGGTGTTTTATGGGGTCGAAAACTAAAAAAAATATTAAAATTATATGTTATGTGATTTGTAACACTATAATCAATTATCTATCTGTTTAAAGAGGAGATAAGAAATTTTTTTCTAATTCAACACGAGCATAAAATTTATTTAAAGATTCTTAATATTGAGTGAATTTAACATACTTGTCAGCTGAAATCATAACAGTTCTCTCAGAAAATAAGTTAGCAGCGGCAGCAACAATATTAGCGACCTTTATCCTCTTATTGCAATTCTGCAATTTCTTACAATACTGCTTTATATGCCCTTGTTCACGGCAGTAATAATAAACATTATTATCATCCATTTCAATTCAAAAATTATAAAACATATGTCACTCATAACACCCAAAATACAGCAGTTAGAGATACTAAGAAAACATTGCAAATAAAATAAAAATTTTGAGAAAATATAATATTTCTTCACACACGGAAACCAAAAGAACCACACTACCACCACCGGAGTTCACGTGCAGTCGCTGGAGTTCACGCGTTGCTGTCAAAAAGTCATGTTCCCCTGCTGAAAATCACCAAAATACCTCCCTTCGGCAGAAAATCACCACAGAACTCACCTTACAACCGAAATCCAGAAGGGACTCACAAAACCACCTCAAATCGCACTGAAAAACCGAAAGAAAACTTTTTATCGCGTGGTCTGCTCCGCCGCGACTTTCTCCGCTCCGGCCTTCTGGTTTCTTGCTCTGAACGTGCTGGTCAAGTGTCTCTTCGGGTTCTGATCTCGTGCCGAACTTGACCCCCATGCGAACCGATCTCCTCTGATTCACCTGACGCATGAGGACTCAAAATTGCTAGAAAACAGCTTCCTCCGCCTCTTTTGCGTGCACCACCACGTTGGCCACAATCTAAACTGGTCGAATGATGGTGGTTGACTCCTTCATTGTCGGGAATGAGTTGTTTAACTCTTATATGGTCTAATCTAATCTGACATCTAAAACTCTAACCCTAACTTTGATACCATGTAAAGAATTAGTGAAAAATATTAAATATTTCTTGTATTTCATTACGTAGGGGTAGGGGTATATATATATAGAGAAAAGGGATTTATATATAAAAACATAAAATACTCTATTAATAGTAGAAAATCAATCAATAATTACATAAGAATATTTTATAATATATTTTGTAATATTTTAACTATTATAAAAATTATGATTGAGGTGTTTTTCCCTCAGAACCTGCTAATTTGGAGGAACTAAATTACTTTGTTGCATGTCATTATTTTTTATTTCTTCAAATGACCAAGGCAGGGGACATTAACAGATCATGAATTAGTGAAACCAATCTAATTGGTGGACTCCACAAAAATTATGAAGACCAGAACATTATTCTGGAATAGTAACTAAAAGAGATAATTCATGGCACCACAAATACTCTGAATAGACTTGAAAATATCATCAGTAATAATGAAAAACAATTAGATTGTAATGCAGAAACTGGTTTACTTTTCATGGCAAGCTTTTTCGGTGGATTCTGCAAAGCTGCTGAAGGCAGAGGCAACACGCTTGAGAAACACCTCATGGCCACTTAAGTACTCGCTGTCTTTCTGTTTGTGGGTGTAAAGATATGTTATAAACATTGTTATAGGAGAATGCCCAATAACTGACATAGCACTTGAGAAAAAATTATAACTGACATTTAACTAAAATTAAAGCTTATACCTGAAGAAGGTACAAAGCAATAGGAAATAACCTCTTCAGGATGTGCAAGAGCCTACATCCCAGCTATATCAACAAAAAAAAAGATATTAGTTTTGGCATGGATAGAGAGAAGACGAACATGCAGAAAACATAAATTGAAATTCAAATGTAAAGTTCAAATACTTTTTTAGCCAAATACTTGCTCTCAGGATTAATGGCATGTCCAGTCCGCTTGAAATTAATACAACTAGAACGAAATAGCTATTAACCAGGCATAAAAAAAAATTGTAATGGAGTTATGATTATGTTACAACATCTTTACAATATTCAATTCGATCATAATAATGGTTGAAAAAAATTGTAGTAACTTATGAAAATCACTATAATAGCCCTCTATTTTTGTTAATTTCTTTAAAACTATATATATTACATGTATGTATTAATAAAATGTATATATTGTTGTGGAAAACTAGAATCCCATGTTTATTTTTCAATAACAGGGTCCTATATATGTACTTAAGTATAAGAAAAGCAATCCTAAAAATTAATCATATAGGATATTTTATATATTCTTGTATGTTAGAAGACATATCCCTACACCAACTTAAGGGGAGCATTGAGTACTATATTTTATTAATTAATTAATTTAGTTTATTATTCAATTTTTTGATATTATGTAATTAAAATTTTACAAAAATAATAATCTCATATTATTATCAGTTTAGTATAATAAGAATTTTCCTATCAGTAGGATAAAAATTTTATAAATACTGTAAATGTAACAAACTGAAGGATGAGAAATAAAATTATTATTTTCTCTCCAAAATTCAACATACTATCAGAGCCAAAAAAAGCCTATTTTAATATTCTAATTTCATAATTTTTTCAAAACCTTAAAATAGCAAAATACTACAAATGCATAAAGATTCAACAATTGAAATTCAATATTGGTAAATAGGATGTAATGGATTTTTTAAACTGAATTTAGTTATTATAGCTAAGATTATAATCCTGATCCATGGCTCCCACCCATAAATTAGGATTACAACTTCTCCACTAATCACAACTATAGAATAATTCTTATTCAACCAAGCAGTATAAGAAGTGGTGCAAAATAGGAAAATATTAAAATAAGCATATTTCAACAATAAGAGAAATGTATGTAATAGTAATGTTTATATGTTATTAGTGTACTTAGTTTAGTTGTGAATGGTTAACTATAGTTGTAATTTGTGAATGGTTAATTGTAGTTTTACAACTATTATTATGGTTTCATTATTTTCTATTAAATTAGGATGCTATAAAAATAGGTTAGTCAATTATTCAATTTATCTTCCTATTTTCTAGCTTTACTATTTTGATTGAATTTTGGTAATATATACGACACCCTAGCTTAGCTAGTAAGTAACTGATTCAAGATTGTTATACAAAGTTTGAGTTATTGATTTGATTCTTGAGATCTGAGATCTCTTTCTATCTCTCTTGTTTTTCATGTCTTTCTAACATTCTTTTATTCTCTCGCTAAAGTCTTCACTGGTATCTCCTATTTCCATTTATCTATCTAATTTTCTATCCTCTTCCACATATGTCCTCTTTATTTTTCGATTTTTGAATGACAACTGTGGGTCTAGCATTACTTCTCCTACATCAAAAGAAGTCTTTGTCACATAATAGTTCTTACATTCTTGGCATATGTCTACAATATATAGTGAACTAAATGTGTCATAAGTTGTCAGTGAATTAAGTTGATACCTCTGTCTGTGAAGTAAACATGCCATGGAACAATTCTTTCTTTTAGTTTTGAGATCACTGAAGTTAACTCTAGGCATCAAAAACAAGTAAAACCAAAAGACAACAAATATGATGTACTATGTACAAACCTGACAAAGAAAAGGTTCAAATGTGTCGCGGGCCTTTGCAACTGCTATCACACAGGCCGTCCTAATTTCCAAGTGGAAAGATAAGTCAGAAAAACAAAGACAAAGCAGTAGAAAGACGTCCATGAGTTAGAAAGTGAACTCCCTATTCAAAATACTACAAATGCATAAAGATTCAACGATTGAAATTTTGTAAGCAGGGAATAATGATACCTTGAGTAGTTCATTCCATCATGAATATCTTCAACACCACATGCATTCACAATTTCTTCCCGTGTAATTGCAGGACATTTAATTCCGCCAACCACAAAACGAAACTCAGCCATTGCACGATGATATTGTGCCCCTCCATAAAGACGCATTCCCGCATTCTGCGCATAAGGAAAAAGATATTGAATGCTGGTTTTGCTCCCTCTAAACAGATTTGGAAGAATAGAGCTCCTCCTAGATTGGCATTTTTTATCTAGGAAGCTGCGAAAAAATGCATTTTGACTATAGATATGCTTAAAAGAAGAGGAAATATCATGGCTAATAGATGCTATTTGTGCAAATCTGATGAGGAAACTTGTAACCATTTACTGCTGAGGTGCCCGGAGAATTATAGCTTATGGAGTTCTGTTTTGGGGCTACTAGTGGTAAAATGGGTTATGGCTGAAGACGTGAGCAGGGAGTTATGAGTCTAGGCAGGTTTTTGTAAAAAAAAAAAAAGTATTTATTCCTTATCTCACTAATCATTTTTTGGATTGTGTGCAAGGAAAGAAACGCAAGAGTTTTTGAAGATAATGAGACTAACTTTACATATGTTAGAAGTATATGAATATACAATTTTTGGTTCTATTTTGTAACTCATGACATCAAAGATTAGAAGGATTTTAGGATTATCATGAACCACTTGATTGACTTGTAACTAACTTTTGTGCTTAGGTGATAACCCTTTGGTATCTATATGAATAATATTTCTTCTCTTTTCTTTCAAAAGAAAAAGTTAACAGCCTAAGAGCCTGAAGCTACTTACATGAAGCAAACAAGAAACAAAAGCTTCTTTATTTTGATGAAGCATATTTAAGTTGTATCTAAACATCTATTCTTATCTGATTGATTTTGTTGATTTGCCTGCATTTGTACAAATGCAAATAAGCACATTCACGTGCACTAATACGGTCTCACATATATACCAAGATACACAAATACATGCAGAGTTCCAGATCAAAGTATGTAAGACATTTGACTGGAAGCATTGACAATCCTGCATACCTAGTTCAAAACAGTAGCTTGCAAATTTAAGTGCATGGAAATATTGATAAAAAAATTATTATTTTACAGGAATTAGCTTGTGCGAGAATTGTAGACCATCAGTGCCAACAAATGCTCCTCCATTTGTTCTTTCATCCTGCAGTGTTTCACCTAGAACAAGAAAATGTAATTGCACATAACTGAAAAACATGAGTATCAAAGAATAATGAAAGAAAACTGAAAAGGAGAGAATTGCGAAAATGGTTGCCTGATCTTGAACTTCTTTTCAATTTAGTTCGAAGCTTTTAATTATTGTGATCAAGTGATGTATAATAGGAAGCTCCTAACATAGACATAATAATTTGAATATATGTTTATAATTATAACAATTATGTACTATTAAGGTATTTAGTTTATTTAGGAACTTGTATCTATAAGCTTATTAATGATATAAGTTTATTATTCCCTATCATAGGCTATTTAGCTTAGTTAGGTACTAATTTAGTTATTTTCTATATCACAGGTTATTCTAAGTAATTAGTCTATTTTCCTATTTTGTAGAATTGCTAGATAGACTTATGAATTCCTATTTGATTGTGCGTTGCTGTCTATAAATAAGGTACCCTATACATTTTTTGTACATGGGTTAGCACCCCTTGGAGCTTGTGAAAGAATGAATCATATCATACTAATTATCTTTAAAATAAATAAATAAATGAGGTACCCTATCTTATTTATACTCAAATCATATGGTAAAAATGCTGAGTTACTGATTTAATTATTGAGATCTGAGATCTCAAAATTCAGTTCTTAAATCTTTTATAAGTATTTTGTTCAAACTCTCTTTGTCCTGCATCATCAAGCCATTGATTTTCTCGAATTAGTCATTCAGTTAACTTTATCTTATTTTTGAACATTCATTACCACATGGTTATATCATTAAAATTGATGACTTGATTTTCACACAGATTAATATGTTCCACGTAAGATTCTATCTTATCATAAAATATTCAAATCTAACCTGCAGAGAACGACCATATCTTCGATCCCCATTTTTTTGTCTCAACCCATACCATGTAAATATGTCCTACTAAATTTTCTTTTTTTTTAATGAAAAGTAGTAAGACTGTATTGCTATAAGTACCAGGAGTGCAGAAGAAGAGAAACATGTACAAGTTATTTTCTACTAAATTTTCACAGTAACTGCTTATAAATTTAATTCATGTTGCAGCTATATCACTAATTTTAACAAATCACTTAGTTGCCAAATGCTGATTACATATCTAATTTAATTATTTTAACGAATAAGTTAACTGAAGGATCAACTTGGGAAAAAAAATAGAAGGCCAAGAACTTGATTAGAATAATTAAAAGATCAGGAACTAAATTGAAAAAAAGTTAAAGGTCGGGACTGTTTTTCCAACTAAGCGCAAATGAAATTGTAGCTTTTATTAATGTGTGTCTCTTATGAGCTAATTGATGTCCGTGACAAGAAACATCAATATGATTTACCAAATTTCTCTGGAGGAGCAACAACTGTTCCTTTCAGCAGCAATGACAGCTGAGTAACAAAGTACACTTCAGTGAGTATAAAGGAGAAGAGAACAAGACATGGATGTGCATGCACGTCCACGTACCCACATGTGTGAAACTCATTCAGTAGTAGCATCTAAGAGCACAATAGTGTTAGAAAAGATCTTGCTTTAAAATTAACAGAAAAAGGGGAAAATGACTAAAATAGACTGATTCATAACCTGTTCAGTTTATACCTTTTCCATTCAAGAATTCATGAAGAATCAACTACAATAACAAAAGAAACATGCAATGAACACAAGCATAATAGTGGTAACCCTCGACAATTAATAGAAACCTTGGTCAAGAAAAGATCATGAAATCTTCTTGCTTTCTCCTTTAACTTTACTTCATCTAGAGAGCTGCATGCAAAGAAAAACAATCAGTGATGAAAGAAACAGTAACAGAAGGTTACTTGAATATGCGAATGACACAGCCATTATTTAAAGAGAAAATTAACAAAACATATCTAAGAGAGAATTACCAAAACATATCCAAGATAAATGCAGTCTGGAAACCAACTAAACGAAATTTATCATATTCACAATTAAATTAAAATTAAAAGAACATGACTCTAAGATATTAATGTTAAGTCATCGTTTGTTTGATTGTATTCTTACTAAAGAGTTTTGTGAATGGAGAGTTTTGTGAAGAAATTCTCCTTTTTTTTTCTCTTATTTCTTTCAGGCACCAAAGGGTGCTTTTTATAGAGGAAAATTGGCATTTTTTCCAGAATATGAGGAAGGGGGATAACAGATTTCTGTTGTTACCATGCCACCTCACCTACTGGGAATATTCTACTCTGTGTAACAAAATGGAGAATAAAAAATACCTAATTTATTACAGCATTTTCTACACTCCCCCTCAATCTAGTTTACATATATATATTGAGTAAACTTAAATTAGATATAATATTATTAAATATCTGTTTTGATAGTGCTTTTGTTAGCATGTCAGCAACTTGTTGATTGATAGGGATGTGCATAAGAGATATGGTTCCATCTTCAATCTTTTCTTTGATGAAATGTGGATCTATCTCTACATAGTTGGTCCTATCATGGTGTACTGGGTTCTTGACCATGCTGATCGTTGATTGATTGTCACACCAAACTTTTATAGAAGTATCAATAGATACCTTTAATACTAGTAGTATTCTTCTCAACCATATCCCTTCACAAATTCCATGTGCAAGTGCTCGAAATTCAGATTCTGCACTACTACGAGATACTACAGACTGCTTCTTACTGCAGCATGTGACCAGATTTCCCCACACATATATGCGGTAGCCAGAAGTGGATCTCCTGCCGATTATCCATCCTGCCCAATCAACATCAGTAAAGACTTCAATATCCCTGTTTATTTTCTTTTGGAAAAATAGTTCTTGATCCGGTGTCCTTTTTAGGTACCTCAAAATTCTGTACACGGCCTTCATATGTATTTGTGACTATTGATTCGTGAATTAACTTACTGTATTGACTGCAAAGCTGATGTCTGGTCTTATGTGTGTCAGGTATATTAGTTTCCCGACCAGTTTCTGATACATTTCTTTGTCAACAGTCTTCTCATATTCTGTAGATCCCAGTTTCATTGTTGGATCCATAGGCGTATCTGCAAGTTTACAACCAAGCATACCTATTTTCTTCAGGAGATACAGGACATATTTTCGTTGTGATACAAAAAATTCCTTTCTTAGACCGAACAATTTCCATACCTAGGAAGTACTTGAGTATTCCAAGATTTTTAATTTCGAATTCTTTAGCTAGAAACTCTTTAAGTTTTCGAATTTCCTCAATATGATCTCCTGTGAAGATAATAACATCTACACACACAATCAGAATTGATCTTTCACCTGAGATATAATGTTTGACAAATAAAATATGATCTAATTGACATTGCTCATACCCAATATGTTTTACAACCCTTGTGAATCTGTCAAACCAAACTCTTTGGGATTGCTTGAGTGCATACAGCGATTTCTTGAGTTTGTAAACCTTGTGAGACTGACCTTCTACTTCCAAACTTGGTGGGATATCCATATACACTTCTTCTTCTAGATCACCATTAAGAAATGCATTTTTTACATCCAGTTGACAAATGGGCCAATCAAGATTTGATGCAAGAGAGAGTAATACCCGTATTGTGTTATACTTGGCGACTGGAGCAAAGGTCTCCTGATAGTCTATACCATAGGACTGAGTAAACCTCTTGGCCACAACGCGTACTTTGAGTCGATTTACACTCCCATCTAGGTTGTACTTGGTCGTGAATATCCATTTACATTCAACTGGTCGTTTCCTTGGAAGTAGCTCAGACAATTCCCATTTTTCTCAAGAACACTAATCTCTTCTTGAATAGCTGTTCTCCACTCTGGTATTTGAAAAGCTTCATGGATTGTCTTTGGTTCTGGAGAATTACTGTCTAGTTTGCTCACAAATTCATGATGTTTCAGAGATAGATTGCCGAATGATACATAATCTTGTATAGGATATTTTGTGCATAATTTGGTACCTTTTCTCACAGCAATAGGTAAGTCAATATCAGTAGCAGAATCAGTAACAAGTACCTCATTACTTGTTGATTCCTGAACCATTGGAGTGAGTACAGATTTATGGCAAGTCCTGGTTGGTTTCAGTACTTGTTCCCCACGAACTTTGTTCCTTCTAATATAGACACGTAACTCATTTACTGCAGTTAGTGTACACTCAGTTTCTGCTACAGGTTCTGGTTCAAGATCAGACGCTAGAGGAGGCGAATTTTGTGGGTAGATAGAACGGATACTGACATCCCACACTTGATATTTCTAAATAAAATGTTCCCCCTGCATATCAATAGTGGGATAAAAAGACTGTTTTTTAAAGAAAGTGACATCCATTGTATTATAAAATCGTCGTATATCCGGAAAAAAGCATCTGTATCCTTTTTTATTCGACGAGTATCAAACAAAGATATACTTAAGGGCTCTTGGGTAAAATTTTCTCCGAAAATGTGAGTGGATATAAACGAAGGCAGAACACCCGAAAACTTTAGTGGCAGTGAGTGTAAGATATGTGAATCAGGAAAGTC